TAGCATTCAGTCAGTCTCGGTACGTTTTTCAACAAAATAACTCTTCTTTTCCCGTAGAAAGAATCATCATCGCAACCACCGACAGCATGCTATCAGCGTCTAACACTGATGCTTCGCTGCCACATAACCATGATTTATTCGAAAACCTTATTGTGAAGGAAAGAGTAAAGGTGGACAGGGAAGGGACTTAGTTCTAGCTTCCTACAATTATTCCGAGCTGCCTATACCTCCAGACACTGATTCAGGCAATGTGGATAGAAAGTGACAACAAGAACCCCACTGACATCAGTTGGCATCCCTATCTTGCAGCGTCTCCAACCAGGCGCAGTGAGGATTACACGGTCCCATCCTGGAAGCTGAGTGACACCGACAGCACACAAACGTTTTGTAATCTCCTTCATACCCTGTTACAAGTCAAAGATTGGTCACCAATTATGCTTCCGCCAATCTGAGTTGGGTATGGAAAAAAGCATTCTCCTTGGCAAACGATGGTTAGGTATACGCAACACATGTCCAAACCAACGCAGCTTCTGGTGCTGAGCATATTTTTCAATGGAAGTACCTGTTGCATAATCATTCGCTTTCCAATTGCCTCGTTAAGGATTCGCTGACACCAACCCATTTGGGCTATGGTTTTGAGGTAACGATTGTCGAACACCTGAAGACATATCATTTCTGCTGCTCATACAGGCCAAGTCTCACAGCCACACAACAAAACAACACGCACTTTAGCTTGATACACACGTCCCATGAGATTCAGCGATAGGTCACTTTGATTTCATAATTGTCTCAAATTAGCAAACGCGACCCGGGGCCTTGCAGATTCGTGCGTTGGCCCACACTACAATCAAAACGAATACACTTTTCAAGATATACAAAACGCTCCACAAGTTCCAAAGCCTCTTCCTGTATTGTAAGTGACGTGTTCAGTGACTACAATAACAGGAGCATGACCATACATACCAAAGGAATTTGGTCAGTTTATCCAAAAACACGTGCACCTCCTCTTTCTCTTCAAAGACGAGGACGACATCGTCAGCATATTACAGATCGGCAGGATTTTCTTCACAGGCTATTTGAACACCGGGGTTTTGGAGACCTTTCGACGTTTGTCTCGTGATTTCAACGATCGCCAGGTTAAATAGGAATGGAGTAAGTGGACATCCATAACGGACAACCCTTTGTACACGAAAGCTTTTAGAGAGCTCGCCGTATATTCTTATTCGTCCAGAAGTCTGGGAGTACAAACGATTCATTATGTTCACGAACTTCCGGACATCCGTTGGTAGGCAAGTGTGTCAGGAACAACAGACCGGCCAAACGAGTCAAATGCGCCTTGGAAATCCAGGAATACTAGAACTGTGGGTCGCTTACACGTATGGTGTTCTAGCTTTTGTCTGAAGATTTGGTCAACACAACCACCACCATATCGGAATCCCGCTTGCTGCTCTCGAGTTAGTGTTTAACGAGCCACCGTAAGGCGACGAAACAACAGTGACGCTAAAAGTCTCTTTTTGACCGTGGTTAAGCTTATCCCCATGTAGTTACCACAGGGCATTATCGCCGACTATCCTCAGTTGACTGGGACAGACTTCTTTTCCCAAATGCAAGCAAGCAGATCAGAGAGGAGCTGATTGAGGACCTCACCTCCACCATTGTGCAATGCGGGTGGAGGATCATCTGAACTAGAAGGTCGGTGGCGCTTGAGATAATATACGCATTAGTAAACATCTGAGGCCTTAGGCGGTCCCACGTTCACCGTTTAGGGTTTACGTCTTCTGTGGGCTCCAGATGAGTAACACGTAGTGGCCAGGTTGATTGTCATTTGAACTATTCGGTCCCACGGTTGAGGCTTCCTTCTTTATTCAAGATGGTTATTTTATTCCGATCCCTGATGGTTTCGCTCAAAGGTGGTTCCCGAAAACCGGCTGCATGGATTAACTGAAATACTCTTTGGGCATTACTGGCTTTCTTGGCCTCTTCCATTTCCTGGCTTTTCGTGTCCACCAGCTTAACGGTTGGGGCGCACACTCACTTTCACTTGACGTCCAATAATTCGTCACATCAAATTATATTCCGGGTCAACTGGGATATAAGCAGTGGCAGCGTTTGGTCTGATATCCAGTGCTTGAGTGCGCCTGGTGGTGCCGTGCCATAGATAAAATTTTAGCACCATGTAAATGGGTGCCAATCTTGTTCCAGTAAGAGATCACATCTAATGGTGAAGTATTTGGGAGAGACTCTAGTAGAAGATTCTATTAAGTTCGTCTAACATCTAGATCTGCCGGCCTCTCAGTTGCCCAGCGATTTGTCCGCACGGTACGCGGCCCTAGAAAAGGTAGGGAGAAGCGGCTCCGGGCGAGCGCGTGGTCGGAATCCACAAATGCGTTTCAAAACGACTGATATTCAGTGAATGATCCGCGCCATCGGTAACTGATGGCAATGTGGCCGAGTTGCGTTTGTAGCTGGCCTGCCACTGAAGGACACTACGTGGCCAAACGACTTAAGCTATTTCGGAAGTTAGGACGGCGTACAAACAGCCTGAGATCAGCACACAGCTGAATTAATCGTTCACCATTGTCCGTAGGTAGGAGCTACAGTCCGTTGGGGCTTACGCAGACACGATAAAAGGACATCGATCAAATTCCTCTTTCGAGATTCCTTCATAAACTTTGGCAGAAGAACCGTGAGTATCGGCGGGTATCCCGTCAGTCGAGGATACTTCCGTCAGGTGACTTAGGATGATACTAACCCCTGCACATCCTACCGTAACAGCCCCTGGGTTGCCCGAGGTGTGCATCCGGGAGCGAGTGGTGAATAATGGGGCAGTTATCTAAACCACTGTGCTTGCATCTTGGATTCTTGCTTCTGAGGTACAGCACACATCAATGCCAAGCGAGTCCAGTGTGAGAGTAATAGCAGCCTGCTGTTCTGCTTGCTTCAGGCTGCGGACATCAAAGGCGGAGAGATAAACCGCGCGTCGAGGCTTGAAGATTGATTTTTAGTTATCTGAGAATGCCAGCGCCGGATGACGCACAGATGTTGCTTGCAAAACCCGTGCAAGTTGAACAGAGTCACTTGTCATAACCGCTAAGCCTACAAGGAGGGACTTATTAATAGGGTGGTTAGAGGGAAAGAAGTATTTGAAGGAGAAAGAAGGGACGCGTTAGCAGTAGCCTGTTTTCGTTTACCTACCCCGCTTTATGCAAAAAGTAGTGCAACCCAGCGGATGGCACCAAGCGACGGTCGATGTGACATGAGTTTACTTGTATATATGCAGTTCATGGTTGTACGTGGACTAGGCTACTGCTAGGGTACCCACACCGAGATAGGAAGACGATTAGGATTCACAACCAAAATCTTTGGCTCAAAACCCGGACAGAAAAGCAGCGACGTTTGGCTGGAAATGCAAATTCATTGCCATTTCTACGGAATAAGTCGCCACAGTTTCCAACCCGCAATCTGGTGGACCGGGAGACTGTGTTTGTCAGACCTCTGACCATTGACCAAACTGTTATGAGAGAATCTCTGAGAGTTGTACGGGCAGCCACAGTATAGCTCAATGGTTCTCTGAAGTGCGCAGATCGTCACCTCACGCTAAGCTCTTGTCTTTTCGTGACGGGTCTGTAGAACGCAGCGACAGGTTACCTTACTATTTCGCGACGCAATTCAAAAGTATGGAGCACCACAGAACAGAGATGAGATCAAGCCCGTTCAAGTTCAATAACGTTCAGGTCCCTGGGTGCAGCGGTGAACAGTCTAGCTGACGAATAAATACTTTAAAATCACAATTAAGATAAGTTCGCTACAAATGATAGGAGCGGAAAACTGAGAAATTCTTGCAAGCTATTTTCCTCCACTTGATCAGAAGCAGAAATAATTTTAACTGTAAGAAGTGAAGGTTAGCAAGACGGTTAATCGTCCGAAGCTGTTCAGTCAGTCATGACGCAAGACGTTTTGTGCTTGAGAAAGTTTGAAAAATACTGATCAAGACTGAATAATCACCTAGGGACAGCATCTTTCCATGATTGCTATTAGGGACAGCTGAATGAATAACATGAAATCCAAAGCAGACCAGAACTACTGGAGATGCGAAGGTCCCTGCAGGATACGCAGCACAATTTTTTCTCTGATTCAGATGATAATAATTTCGGAGGACATTAAACAAATTCTGCAATGTTCCTAGGCATTAAGACAATTCAGGAAATACCAACCCTGGGGGCACGATACGTAACGGTATTCCTGCTTTTGATGAAAAAAAACACTATACATTTCATGTTTTACCTGAACGCTAGACGTTACTTCGATGTGTAATAGGCCTCAGAAGAACCTATTCAGAACCTACTCAGAAACCTATTTCATGATTCATTTCGATAATGGATTTTAGACTGCTTTGATGACCATCAAGTTTAGGCAGAGAAAAACTCATGTTGTAACTTTAGCCATTTAAAGGTCTCTCTGAAGTAACAATAACTGGCGCAGCCATAAAATGACCAAAACACTAGAAGACATCCGGAAACAGCTTGTTTTTCCATCATTTGGTCTGAGTGAACATGATCTGTCAGATGTCTTTTAGAATCAATAAATAAAACACAATACCTCTTTTTTCCTAACACTGTTATCGACCTTGGCTGCGAAGTGAACATGAGTGCAACCAAAAGTTGTCCATAAAATTTTCACTTTCAAAACCGCGTTGGAGGGGTCGTCTGGCCATCATAAACATCAAGAATTCTGTACAGCAAATAATCGTCTCCACGCAGCTCGCAACCAGAACCTATGCAAACCGGCGTGTCAGTGTGCAACATCTTTCATCTCTCTGCAGTATCAAATTCTGTCAACCTCCGGGTTCATATCACTGTGAATTATGCACGGCTGACAGTGCCTTCCTCGACAGGCGCTAAATCGGCATTCGCAGCACATGGCCAAGTCAATCTAGCTTGCAGTACTGCAAGCATTTTTGCGGTAGGTTTAAGCTGCTTTACCCGAAACTCGTCTCCTGATCACCTCATTGCAAATTTTCTAGTTCCAGGCGGTTCCAGCTGTAGGTATGAGAAACCAGTCTTAAAAAAATACAAAATGTCTCAAACCCTCAGACCGAAGTGGCCAGGTCTTAAACTGTTAAACAAAACACAGACTACATTGTAGTCTGACATATATGTCTTTTGAAGCCCTCTGAGATGCCTATTTGGCACAACAGGTGGCAAAACTTCGCGAACGCAGAACTTCGAGACTCGCGAGTTGACTTCCTCTGTCACACTGTCGTCAGAACTCGTGAAATTTTGGAGATTTCCACAACTTCAAATGTCTGTCCTAGAAATTTAAGAGGTTTGTCCAAAGACTGCACTTTCAGCGCCCTGACTTTCCACTTTGTTGAAGCAAAGCAAATACCGTAGAATTAGATGATCTTGGTCAGCTTTTCTAGTATTGCTTGCGCCTCCTGTTTTTCTTAAAAAATAAGAACGATGTTCATAGAGTTCTTGCCCCGGAAAGAGCTAAACGCCGGAGTTTTGGAGCCCCTTCATTTTCCATCTCATTATCCCAATAATAACAAAAGTAAAAAAAATTAAGAGAATTGACAGCCTTTCCGCACACCACTGTTTATAGGGAGGTTATTAGAGAGTTACCCGGTGGCTCTTATATGCCCACAAATATTTGACTACAAATTTGGCGAATTTTTGGATCAAACCCTGTTGTGCATGTGTGAATTAGAAGCTAAGCAGTATACACAATCAAGCACATTCCTAAAGTCAAGGAACACCAAGGTTGAATAGCGCCTTCTTGTCTGTCGTTGCTGTAGCACTTCACGAAGTGTGGAGATGTGACCCACATAGAACCTTCTCGATCGAAATCATGATTGCCGTTCTCGTATCTCGTCTTTTCACACGCCCGTAAGACGGAGCAAAATGAGTGACACAGACACTCCGGTTACACGTAGGATCAAGCTAGTTTATTTGTCACTGACACTCAAAGCAAGTACCATTTTGAAAATAGGCACCAGTACAGACGCGTCTCATTTCACCCTAACTATCTTTCAAATGAAGGTCAATAAGTTAGACAACCATCCACCGCTTGAGGGAGAAAAGGTTTCGGCTTATTCCCATTCCGTCGTGGGTTCGAAGTTCACCGTTGAAGTTTCCGTTTCGGATTGGGAATTTTTTCGGGCAATTTCGGTGGCTAGTTGAACTGATGTTAAAGATCTTTAGCTCAGCGATGGAGGATTTCTTTTTTGGAGATAGGGGAGACCTCTTTAGCACTGACCGTTTCATTTGTAAGTGGGTTCTTTGAGCCTATTGCACACACCAGTTGAAACATTTCCGTACCTTACCGCTCCATCCATCTCCCCAGATTTCGGGACCCGCCAAGTTTCCGGTAATCGCGGATGATCTTTTTTCATGTAGATTTTGATGGTTTGTCCAGTGGTATTGTACTCTCAACCAGGATGCAAATTCAGAGTGCTGGTCTGGAAACAATGCTTGGATCTGGTTGGCTGCGCTGTTCCACACGAGAAACGTCCCAGATTTTCCAAGGTTGCAGAAAGTGGCCCCTAGTAGGGGTCGAAACTCAGGTCAACCTCTTAATAAGAATAACTACGCAATGAGAAATCAAAAGAAAGGTATATTACTCACAAATCTCCCCTGATGGACTTTACTCTGCCGCTTTTGTAGGAACTTAATAGTAGCCTTCGTGCACTGGAGCCACATGCCTGCCTCTCTCTGTATATAGAGATAAGTAGCCTAGGAGAGGATCTCCTGCTTTTGAAGGCCTCTATGGTTTCATATTTTCCATCCGACGGTTCACCACAAGTCAGAACTCTTACCAAACAACGGCATTTCCCCAGATAATGCGCTACTTGTTTTCCTGTCTAATGATTTAGTCTTCCCATTTCTAGAGTTGAGCAATCCATCTAAAGTATAGATCACTTCGTTCATTGGCATGGTCTTGGGCTTTCATGCCGCACGTTTCAGTCGAAACAGTTTTCTTACTTCCAAATTTTCTTGCAAAATTCTTTTTTTGGACCGGGTCTATTAGCCTCTCCAATAAGCGTCACTACCTTTTTAGTAACACTTGATTCTCCGTCTTTTCGTCAACGTCTTCCCCAATAGCCACGATATCGCTGGTTATGCCTTACGATAAACAAACAACCTAGCAAGTTGTGGAGTTTTTCGGATTGTATTTCCTAGTAGTGGCCCATGTGAGGAGATTGGCTGGTTTAAAGTGATTGATTTTTTATAAATTTGCTTTGGAGAGCCTCTGAAATCTCAACAGTGCCTCAGTCATGTGTGTAATTATTACATCCACCAAAACAGAGGAATAAAAAGATCAACCTACTAGCGTCTCATCAAGCTCCACTGAGATTTCTCAAGAATGACTGACGATCAATGATTGGTCCACGCCAGGGATACCAGAAATTCAAGTTCGTGCCCGGTTTGCACAAAAAGTGCACCATTTGGCAAGGCTCTTTGAAGACTTAGTTCTTCCAAAAAGTAATTATTGATCAGTACACAAGTTTGTTAACCTTCACCCGTCCGTTTCAAATCGTGTATGGATTTGCCATCCGATTATGTCCAACTACTTGCACGTTCATCAGTCTGGAAAACAACAATTTGAGGCCTTATCTTGCTATACCAGAGCATCTCTAGGTCTTGACGGTCGTCTTTGAGACCACAGCGGCATTTTTCTTAGTATATAGACAGACAGTAAACTAGAAGCGGTTATATGCTTGCTTACCGGAAACTCGCATTGACTGCAAAAGCGAATATAGAGTGCATCCGTCAAGCAATCATACTTCATGTAGATGACATACAACTTTGAAAAACCAGCACAAGTAATCTTGCCAGCTTTTTTGGTGTGTGATATGCACAATCGGGAGTGAAATAAAGCTGTTATTGCTTTCCTTTATACGGTTATATCTGGATAGCGAGAGTACGCGCATCAAAATCGTCTAGCGCAAAAAGTATGAATGGCTGTCGAGTCTGTTTCACCACATAAGCAATAAAGGCTGGTAGAAGAACTTTGCGTTGGTGTCTGAAGAGTGAAGTGAGTCTGCCACACAGGTGGCAGACTAGTATTCTAGGTAGTAGCTCATAAATTTCTGAAGACTCCTTCACAACCCGCGACCGGCTTCGCCGTGTTTCAAGCTCATCAGATAGCTCCAGTCCCAGGGATTCCGTTAACTTAAGTTTATATTGTAAGAAATCTGACGAGTACACTCATTCACAAACCATTTTGGTTTCAACGGCAGACTCAGCTGAATCCAACTTGAATCTCCCGTTCATGGTACTCTGCGACTTCGGTTCAGGTGACTCTTCCGTGGGAATCAGATTGACATGTTGTCCAGTGTATTTTTTGATTGAGTACCAGGCCTAGGATGTTAGCCTGCAACTTCACTGTCGAGGGATGGAGTAGGGGAGGGAGATATGTGCCATTTTGAGAGGTTTTCTGCCATACGCTCGCCTGTATCATGCCTTTGTTCATTCTGTGTTACAAAGATTTCATGGTTGTCTGTACACATGTTCGCATATTCGGAAAGCATCTCTTTATGTAATGAAATTGAAAATGGTTTAACACAATATTCCGGAGTTATTTTGCCGTTTAATCACGTGAGAACTACTACTAGGTAAATTAACAAGACGAAAATATTGCCATGCGAAAAGTTTCTTTTGCACGTTTTGTCGTCAACAAGGAAGCCAATTCTGCTTACACAGATCAGGCTCAATTTTTTCGAATAGCGATTGCCTTAGGATATCTCATAACTCCGTTGTGTGTTTTACTTAGCACTAGATTGAATGCAATCAATTGATCAAGGCGATGCTTGCCCTGAATCATAGGACAGGCAACTAACAATCCCGGCAGTGTAGCCTGTTGTTTTGTTTGTCTCAAATAACCTCGGAACGAAGTTCAAAAAATATTTCGTCCAGCTTTTTACTTATGCAAACTATTGGATGGTTTTGTCAATCATTCGTTTTTTCGGAATGTGAAGCGACGGAAGGAGTTGGTACGCAGATAGCTTAGCAGCTCGAAGTTGTTTTTCACCCTTTTCTCGTGACTTTGTGCTGCCTAAAATGTCATCCAGGTGAGCTTTACACAGTCAATGACCGATTCATATTTCGGACCACAAAAGCGAATTTTCAACTGCTACTACAATGGTTTGAATATACCTATGTCTTGGAAGTTAAAAGGCATTACCATCCGAGCATAATATGATCAGTCGTCCGGGATCCGTAACCGGTGGATGCATGTGTAAAAACAGTTGATGTACATATCCACAAACGAAGTCAACTGTTTCGTGGATTGGTATAACCGTGAATAGCAAAGTGATATCCACCAACTTGGAGCACGTTACTGGTCAGAGTCATAAACCGGTCTCAGTGCATTCACCAGTCACTTTAACAGTTTGTGTTGTGAAGAGCAGGGTGCGGACAAAATTCGCCGCACCATATGTATGTCTTTGGGAGATAACACAGTTCTGACAGTTGAGTACGTATTGGTTCCAGCCGTCTAGCAACCAATCCACGTACGAAGTTCTTTAGTTGTTTTTATTATTGTTGCTGAGTTCTTAATTTTGTACAACAGAGAAGATCTTTCTCCATTAATCTTAAGTTGAACATCTCAGGATTGAGAGGGACAAACTGCGTCCGTAAATCAAAGGAATATAGCTTTTTGGTGGAGTACAATATTCTAGTCTAAGCGGTGCCTCCTAGTATTGATGTCTGCTGAGATGAACTGAGGAGAAACTGACAATATACTCTTCTGTATGGGCTGCCAAACCGGATCGTGGTCTGCACTGTCGTTGTTTAGTCGCCCGCTCTTTGGTTAAAATCAACCATTGCGTCGATCCAGTGACTGCATTCACTGTCGTGCTCAGTAAGTCACGGCTTTTCTGAGACTATTGCCGTCTGCAAATAGGATCCTGATCTGTACAGACAGAAACAGCTTTCCTTTTAGTTGACACTTCCATGAAAAATTGTATGGTAAGCTCTTGACACAACGACACTTTCCTAGATGAATTTACTCGGTGCCAGAAAGCGCCTGATGGGACGCGGCGAAATAAATCCGGAGTATCGTTCATTTCTCATTCCGTTCTCATATTTACCTCCGCAGATGATGTGCATACACACATCCACACATGTGCGCTGAGAAGCTCAGACTGCCACAGCACCCAGCTTGTTGAACAGTCAGTTTGGGACTAGACCACTAGTTTAATACCCTCCAGTTCTCTTTTCCTCCATCAGAATCTGCTGTTCAGACGCTCCACTGCCCGTCGTGGGAAGGTAATCTTATTATGAAACACTGGTGTTGCTGAAAGTCGGGGGATGCGAACCAGACAACAGTTCAATGTATTGTCAAATGTATCATTTATCTTGGGACAAAAGACTGGCATTTTGATCTTACCTCAACTATACTGCTGATATGACCATCTACTCTCCTTTCAGTATGTGCTTTCCCGTTTCAGTCCAAAATCCCATACCTGGTTTGGGATATAGTACCACATCATACGGTGACTAAATAGTTTATCTATTTTGTTACATTTACATGTGGTACGTCAACCACGGTGTCAAACTTGTCCAGTGAAACGCTTTTTTGAATCGAAGCCCTTAAGTTCCGATATACACAAACCTAGCTGCACAGGCTTTGAAGTCGCTGCCACCGAAGTTGTCCACAAGACTGCACCATGACATACAAATTTGGTAGTCATTATCTTTTGAGCAGTTCAGCTGTTTAGCTGCGGTGGCCTCCATCCAAAATTAACTTGGTGAGTTGCTCCACATTTCATTTGGTACGTCGCGCGTTTCTTCTTAAGCAGCGTTAAGTGCCGCTCATTCTCATATTTGATTGCTTGTGTTGCTATCCTCCAGTAGGGTTTTTTCCATCCACGAGGCTGATAAATATCTGAAGAACTTGGCGAGATCCTTAAAGATGTGCACTTTTATTTTTCTGATTCCCAGTTAATCAGAACATATTCATTAATGCCGCTACAGCATCTGTTCTCACTTAACCGCAACAGCTACGGAAACAAGATGTATCACTGACTTTCCAAATCAGGGGATTCACTGTATCCGAACCCATATTTCGTTATCATTCGTTATCTGCTCAGTCCGAAAATGAAAAACCCCCTATTTTTCAAAACCCATGTTTACTGCTATTCCCATGGTGTACTAATCAGAGGTGGAACTGCACTTCCGCACATAGGATTTCTTTAGAGGAAAAGTGCATTAGAAGGAACGGATGCTGCTCTCCCAATTCTCAAAAACTATTCTGCTTTCTGATCATACCGATGCTAACATCATGTTATAATTGTGGGTCCTGATAAATACCACCTCAGCCTCTGACTGTCGCCCATTCAGGCTGTCAATAGTTCAAGATCAACCACTCCCATCTTTTAACCAAGAATTGTGCTCGGGGGCTTTCAATGGTGACATATATCATCCACTGATTCGTAAATGCTTCTTTACCCGTCGAGTCGGCAATAACGACCTCAGAAGGAAAAATCTTCGAAAATCTCAACAAAGTTATCAATGCTTGGAGAAAAACACAAGATGCAAGCTCATGCTTTGATGACTCAAAATAATTTTTAGTAATCTTGGCCACTGAAACCGAAGACCTTCCGTATAATTTAAATACAATATCCCCCATTACCCACTTACCACAGGATAACTTGCTTTTCAGACAACCATACAAGTTACTTGAAAATATCACAGCTGTGCAATGAAGTTGCAATGTTCTACTTATCAGTATCACCTAACACCTCTCTAAAATTTCCCTATCTGGCACCCAACTAGCTGGCGAAATTTGATTCGACTGTTCTTTCCCCACCACAGAGCAGTTAAGAGAGACTTTTCAATTTACAGTCTAGTTTATCTCTTTGGTTTCGGGCTTTTTCTTGACCAGTCAGCTGGCAACCATACGTGACATTTTGCTTAAAACACCAACTCCACGATATCATGGATATCCTGGACATGTTTTGATTGTTCTCCTTATGAGAAATTATGCGAATTAAGTTATGACGATGAGAAACGCGATGTGACCAAGACGGACACTAAGATAGCGTTGAAAAGAAAGGCAGTCACACTTAATGCAAAGCGAAAATACACTCCTTCGGATGTGAATAGAACCCAACACATCTCGCTTATCACACGAGAGATCACTCGGGATCAGGCACCGTACGAGTGCCCTTTTGCTTCTGCGTAATATACCTCTCGGCTTCCGTCCAGAAAGAGAACGGATTCTGGTAGCCTAGAATGTATAGGTGATATATTTCCTTATCTGTATTTCCTGGAAAATGTTATTTGCGCCGCATTCCAAGGAAACACTGATATAAATCTTGCTGAGGCAGTCGAACCAACTTGCCTTCGTGAGACTGGAAAGTTCTTTTCCGGTGCAATAAAGTGTACAAAACACGTCGTTAAATACACAGAGTACTTATGACGAAGAAACTTAACAAGAGCACAGGTTATACAGGAAGCATATTAATTCAGAAGAAATGATATTTCATGAAAAACAATGGTTCTGAGTGCCTCCCATCTCTGCTGAAAGCCAAGTGGTGCCCATCTTTAAAATACGGTGACAAGTTCGATTATTTTGTGAAATGCTCATAGACATGGATTGCCGCTCGCGAAATATCCCAGAAGAAAATTTTTCCTGTATACGGCTTCTTTAAAGTGGATCCAGATACAAGTTTGCTCAGCAACCGATCGACACTCGTGTGTGATAATGGGCTGGACCGATAAAGCTGTGAGCCCAGGCACAAAACGTTTGGCTGTTTCGACATAAGATAATATGCACACAATTTTGGGTTCTTACAAGCTCAGGATTATTGTGCTAGATAACATGAAAACGCTGATGTCTGGCTTATGTACGAAATACCGCAAAAACGTTTGTCCTGCAATCATAACTGGTTGTCACTTTTTGTTTGATTTCATCCCATTTTTAAACTCACCTGTTGGCGGGAGAGAGTTTTCAGCCACTGCACATACCGCTAATAGTAGATATTCAGTACCAAATAAAAACTGCCGTGATACCGTCAACCTTCAGTGAGTACTGCTTGTAGTAACTCACTCAGCACTCAATTCGGAGCATCAAGGTAGAGAAAGATCCGGACTGCTCCGTTGCCGCAGCGTATTGGCACTTCCCTAATACTACCAACTGGAGTGACCTAGTACTGTATTTACTAATACAGGTAACTCAGTTGTGAATCACTAGCACATTAGCTGAGAGTTGATATTGTTATTAAGAATCAGTCAAGTAGAAGGAAAGCTCTCAGTCTTATCAAAATACTCACTGACCTCTTCATTTTCGCATTTGTAAGTTTCTCAAACACTTACCAACGTTTGATAGTGATATAGCCTACACTCATCTCGACAACTTCTTTGTCCATGATAGTAAGGGTTGTATTTTACAAATCTGGGGCACATTCCTAACAGTGAATTTATTTGCGTACGTTCAGATTTAGAGCTAGAGTTGCCGTGAGAATACTGATAAATTTGGACGACGGCATAGCAAATTCCACTGTCCCAATTACAGCGCTGATATCTCTGATTGCTTCTTTGTGGTAGGCGCTGTACTATCTACTTAGCGCAAATACTGGTCCTTAAACATCACAATCAGGTTGTCAGTTCATCAGCCATCTACCATTACTTCTTATTATGTGGTTAATTTGATACACCAATAAAAAATTTTGCAGATTACAGTCGGCAGGTGACAGTTTTCGTTCACCTGTCTTCTCTATGCAGAATGGAGGGCGATCCAGTATATGTAACCGCACAATGCCTGATGTATCATGAATTTACTCATGCTTGTCGTTGTGGTTAGGCTAGATGGCCTTCCTGGTTCTTAAGGCTAGGAAAGGTATGAGTGGATTCAAATAGAATCGAAGAACGTTTTGGTTAGAGATCGGAATGATATACAGACCACAAACATGACAAAACGCATTACATCCGGCGTTATTGCGCGGCATGAATTTTTATAGCATTATATTTCATGCATTGAGAGTATCGAATATCACCAACCAAGGTCATCACGTTTAACAGCTTGGTTTAAACGGGATAGCCTTTGCGTTCGCAACGTAAATCCATTGGTCCTTAACAAATGGGGAAGTGACTGACGTTGCATATGTGCCATCCAATCACGATGTGACAGTTCAGCATCGGCGGAAGATTGGTACTGACCGTGAGTTTGAAAAGTCGAGGGTTGCAGGTCCTCCCTTGGAGTGTAAAGTAGGGCGTCATTTGGGAAGTAATCTGAAAGATCTTGTTCTTCGTGAAGTATCGGGGATATGTCCAGTTGTCTAACACGATCAGCTGAAACACAGCCACATATTATTAATCGGCACAGTCATTCTGGTGGCACAGAATGTGTGAGGCAGTATTAGACAGCAAATTAACCTAAAACATTGATATGAGTTTGTTTTGCGGCTCATTTTCTCTGATGAGCTGGAGTATTCGACAGGTATCACCGTATATCAAGAATTGGACAGACGCATGTCTGACATGTGTGAAGCATGTTCCTAAGCAATAATGGTCAGCCACTATGTATCCAAAAACATATAAAAACAGCCTTTCTTTCCAGCCACCACTGTCCTCCCTTCGGAAATCTAATAGATGGCATGGTTAGGGACATAATTAAGAAATAGTACAGCTTAAGTTTCAAAACGGCTCTCTGCTTAGCATGGTGGCCGGAATTCTTGTGACGACGTTATTTCCGCTGAAAAAGGCCTACTTCTCTTACTCAAAATCCTCTGATTTACTGCCACACATGTGCAAAGCTTTATTGTAAAATGAACTCAGTGTCTTTCCATTTCTAACTAAAAGAGGTATGTCTGGACTGAATAATAGACAAAACACCCAGAATATGGCCAGAATGGTCTTTCTATATTGAGGACATGCCCAAAAACGTCTTTCCTCAAACGGCAGTTTAACTGTCGTTAAATCGGATGTTCACAGTTTTTGACAGCAAACGCCTATCTCTGAATCGCAGGTGCGCCAATCAATGCAAGGTTCGTAGTAATGAGTTATGCACAAACTGTAGGCTGAATTATTCGTCTCGTTAGGTGCAGCCATTGTGAACAATGAGAACGGGACGAATGACTTATTGGGATTTAGTCTGTCTGCTATTTAATAGCATCTAAAACTGTTAGAATAATTTATTGAGAATGATACAGTTTAAATGGCTTCACTGTTCTAGAACATGTCATTTTGCATATCGTTTCATATATTTGATCAGTAAGTATTGAAAAATAATAATAATTATTTTTCTTCATTTATTTATATGTTTGATTGAGATCCTGACTTCGAACTTATGCCATTATATCTATCCACAACATTCTTGATGCTTTCCGAGGAATCAAGCTGTCATGATTGCTCGTTACCCAAAGACTGCTGCGTGATGAATATATCATTTTTGTCTTGCTATACGCAAGTTACTCCTCGTTAACTAGATGCAAAAAATAAAAACAACTAGATCGATAGTACCATACAATGCCGGGAACAGAGGCCGGGGTCAGCATTACCGTCAGTAGATAAAAACTACTTACTCCAACCTTAAGGTATGCAGACACATGACCTACGGTTTCAACTGCGGTTGTGCTGAATCATCTACCAACGAAGGAATCTATCTGGCTTTGGAAAAAACAGTGATAACGGGTTGGTTCACCGGCTGCTTTTACAATTTAGATTAGTATCTTGATGACCAAATGTAGTTAAGTCTTTGGCTGTTGTTTCTTAAGTTACACAGGGTTTTTGACCGGAAGTTTATCTACTACGTGGAAAGAGCCGCTTTACCCATTTTATCCATCCAAACTACCAATAAGCTGCATACGCTGTCTCGGGAAATTTAAAGTTAATGACCTTTAGTCAAACGTTTTCTTGTGGCCAGCGAAATTCGGGCGCCTTTGGTTAATAAAATTAACTTTGGGAATAAACTTCAACGACACGAACAAAGTGAAAATCGGTATAATTCCTTTCGTAAACGGGAAGTGCTATTCCAGTGCCTCGACAGCTGCGGCTGAGGACGTTTGAAATTTAAATTTTTAGTTTCAGCTCGCGACCTAATTAGGTTCAATCAAAGTCGTAGATAGAAGGCACACAAAAATTACGGAACTGTTGACTGACGACTAACACTAGTACATTATCTATGGTGAAGTACACAGACTGAGTCATGCAACATTATAATGTACTACCTCACCTGAGGGAATGTTAGAGTTCTGACATAAAAATTCTGCCGAGCGAACTTTGGCATTGTGTTACTAGTGTCAAGTTTCAAAGCCTCAAAATACTAAAGCATATATAGCGTTACTTGAACGGAAATTTATGATGGTGATACTTTTAATCGAAACGGTCAGCATAGTTGTAAGTTGGTATTTTAAATTGTCAGCTAGACATACGTTTTGAACATGTGGCTGAATGTTTGCTATCTCAGGGAATACCGTCCACATGCATTCACAATGTACTACCGTTTTAACATGAACCGTGCACAATATTGGGTGGATTATAACAGGTGACCCAAGTCTAGTACTTTTTCGACGTGAATGCATGAAGATAGGAGATGGACAGTCACGCCAGAGCAGTCTGGGAACTAATTCGCCTCTTATAAGTACCTTGTCATTTAAACCTAATAGAGCAGTTAGATTCGCAAATCATGTGGTGTGCTTATTTGATATGCACACTGGTAGAAAAAGTTGATGCAAACCACACGCAAAAACGGAGAAACACTGGAACACTCAGTACAAGTGTCATGAGTAGGTTGAACAATTCTAATGCAAAAAATAACGTTTTCGTTATCCACTTAGAGACTCACGCATATATCCAAACTTGCAGATACAGCATATTTCCTGATGCAAAATGTTTTATATTTGCTAATTTACTGTCAACGAGGGTTAAAAATTTAGCATATGGTCAAACATAGAAATCAAGAAACTGCTTCAAGATTGATTTCCGAGAATACCCTTCTGGGCCTGCCACGCTTGACGAAAAGTGAAACGCACCAAAAGCAGCACTTCAAAACAATGGTGTCCAAATTTCTGAGCAAACGTGAAAAATATGTTGTCTGAGCTACTTTTGAAACTTCACATGGAATTTGTTGAATTTTCGTCTATTATACGGGACTACTCAGCATTATTCTATCAGTCCTGATTGTGCATCACTGTCACCGAAGTCAGAGGCGTATTCTACTCTATTCTATCTATTCTATTTTGCTAATTTACTGTCAACGAGGGTTAAAAATTTAGCATATGGTCAAACATAGAAATCAAGAAACTGCTTCAAGATTGATTTCCGAGAATACCCTTCTGGGCCTGCCACGCTTGACGAAAAGTGAAACGCACCAAAAGCAGCACTTCAAAACAATGGTGTCCAAATTTCTGAGCAAACGTGAAAAATATGTTGTCTGAGCTACTTTTGAAACTTCACATGGAATTTGTTGAATTTTCGTCTATTATACGGGACTACTTTATTTTATTCTATCAGTCCTGATTGTGCATCACTGTCACCGAAGTCAGAGGCGTATTCTACTCTATTCTATTCTATTCTATTCTGTTCTATTCATGGATATCAGTTCGTTATTCAGTTTATTCATCCGCATATTGCAGTGCTTATCTCCCCTCTACCTCATTTGTGTTGTAACCCTTCATTATTTGCTACACATGGCTTTTGGTAGCCTCCAAATCTGTCCGTGTCCACCCATAGGGACAGGTGCAGGCACCTCCGCACACACACACACGTTCATCGTCACACTCGGTGTGACAGTTATCTCCGTTCGATTATCGCTCCCGTGGTTAATCGATCGTGGACTTAAATTGCCTTGCGGTCGAATAAATCCTGTCTTTCGATAAGTCGAACTGCGGGGACCAGCTTGTATGAACCTTATGAATAAGCTAAATATGTATGGACATAAATCACTTGTTAACAACTTGACTATTCTTTGCTATTTTTGCTATTTCGTTTAACTCGAAATTCAGAACCCGTATCATGGACTTTGATGAATGACAATGTTTAGGTGTGGCGCAGTTATTTCTCGGCTCAGATGTCCTCCACAAATGGCCAAGTGCAACTAAATACCATCACGTGAATTCCCGAAATCTGTTAATTCATGCGGTTTTTGAATTTTTCACGGCTGTGGGATTTAGCAGACTCTATCACGATAATTTACTTTAGATAGAGTTATCAACTCCCAACTTCTCGACCATTATCGACCAACTTTGTCGACTTGGTCTGTATACTTACTCCAATATCTTCACTGTTTGGTGATGACACAAACATGGGATACCAGTGCTTTCCTGCAAGATAATTGTTTTTCGAGCAGATTTCTATAGGGCGTTCATTTGGCCGGTTAGTTATAGTATCAGCCTCAGTCGTTTTGATTACAACGCCATCACTCTGCAACGACCAAGCCGTCACTTTCGCGAGCCGTCTCGTGGAGCAATATGGATCCGAAAGAGAAACACAAATGAACTCAGCCTTTTTGCAATATCTGGTTCAAAACCCATTTGGTTTTAACTAGAGTCCCAGAAGAATCTCACCTGAATCTTTCGTTTATGAAAATCTCCAGGTTGAATTCAGTTACGGCTGCTGATATAATCATATCAGCTTTCAAATGAGCATGGATGGCAAATGGTGCAAGATTAGGGTGCATTAGGTTGACGGTTGAAGGTTGTGCAAACCGACGAGCTTAAAGAGGAATGAATTTGTTCGCGGGCTTCTAGAGAGTCTCCACAAATCATACGATTAACGTGTCGGCGTGATAAAACGAATTCTTCTGTTTATTGTGCAGTCTTCCGGCAGCCAAGCCACATTTCTGAGGTTGTTGGTCAAGTATTTGTTAGAATCATACTGAACAATTTTCCCATATTTCGATAACAAGCACCTGTACTCAAAACATGCACGCAATCCTCATCTTGCATTGTTAGCGGCGATCAGTGATGCACTACTCGATCTACTCCAAAGACTAGCTAGCAAGCTGGGAAGGCTACAAGATGGCCGAGCTAAAAGGAAAGATGAAACCTGTCAGTATAATCACATAAGTATTTCATTTAATGCAAGGTGAACTGATGTTCTCTGTCATCAGAACTGTTCATATCTTCCTATTTCAGAGCTTTCGCGAAATATCCAAATTCATTCACTGTAAATGCATGAGCAGATTTGACGATGAGAATAGCTACACGCTGATACGTTTAAATAGGAAAATACCGGTCTTCGCTGCAAATTTTCAGATTTTTACTTTTACTCCATTGAAAAAACACGATCCTCCTAACGTACAAGAAACGCAGTTGGCCTGGATTTGGGGGTGATTTTTACTATACGAAGCACAAACAGGGATTACACTCTTTGTAATAATGCTGTTACTCAACTTTACGCTGCAATCCGATGGCAAAATAACAAACCTCCCCTCGTACAAATGCATACCACTCTGCAAATAACTCGGAAGTCAGGCCCAAGCACGACTTTACATTAACTGATTTTAATTTTTCAGATATAGTAGTAACAACAATGTCTGTTCGGATCGGATTACGGCAGTTCACAAAGAGTCTGATCCGTGTAATGCCACCATTACCTGCCTATATGACCCAAAGTGTGCGAAATCTTAGACCCAAGCACAGGGCCCTTAGACACAAGGACACGAAAACGTCCTAAATGCTTCTCATCAAGTTCAACCCCAGAATCTTGTTTCTCCGGCTTTCAGCATCGTTTAGCATGGAATGGGTACTGCTAAAATTAAAGTAAAAAACAGTAAGCACATGATGGTAAAGGCGGGCCACTCTCAATAAGATAGGTGTTGACCCCGTTAAAACAAGTGTTATCCTTTGGAGCCTTTTCACTCCCACACTCACCAATATGGGTCAATTCAGCACCTTGAATACTACTGCATAACTAACGCAATAGTTGAGCGACGTTTTTTATGAACTGGCATAGATTTTGGCTTGGTTTATTCGTCATTTAGCTGTGTACATTTTCTCCACTGCACTAATCAAAAGGTTGTGCGCTACGCAGTGTCTAAACTCTTCAACAGCGGAGATCGTTTCATCTGGTTATTTTTGAAAGCGAAGGAATAGATACGGACTTTTCTGAGCAGTGGATGAAGCCTCCGGAAGCCAACTTCGTTTATTTTTTTGGACGAACTCTCTGCGGTTGTTGGCTGACATCCGCTCCTTACGAATATTCACTGCAACTTAAGCTGAATGCGCATGACAAAATATAAGAACAAGTTGGATGCGAAATGAGACACGGCGGATGTTACACTGATAAAGTAATCTGTTTCTCTCTGTTGATATTGTGAGATTTTTAATGAGAATTTCATCCTGTGAATGAGACCTGTGATTGAAGAATGAGAGGAGCTATATCTTGTACAATTGCCAGTTAATCACACCTTTGATGGGGGCTTTCGGCTTTTCAGCATAGATTAGCTTCACTGACAGGTCGGACTCACAGCTGGAAATTACCGAACCTCCTCGAGTCACCATTAGCTTACAAGTGGCTCAGAGAAAAATCACCTCACAAGATGAGCGACGCTTCCATTGGGCAGCCAGTAAATACGTAACCACGTGATGTGGTATCTGTGACTTAAGGATGAGCGGCATTCTATCTATCTACTGTTTGGAAAATCATGGCCAAATGATTAGGTGATCAAGCTACCAACCGGGAGGTCTCAGGATTGACGTTCTAAGGAGATTCGGCTTGGTGATCCTCAGTAAAGGAAAAACTGCAGTACAATACCTCTCGGCTTTTCAATATTGATTTGCATCAGTAACAGGACAAAATCTCTATTAAAAGAACAGTCTTACATGCAAATAGTTTCTTTGGCTTTTCATGGATACACGTTTAAGATGGTCACTTTTCTTGCTCAACTAGAAACTTGCCTATTTCTAAGAAAGAGGAGAACATCACTGAAGAAATCATTTGAGGTCAGTATTTTAGACTGATTTTTTTCACAGAAGGATAACATCACAGTGATTTACTTTAAAGAACAATATTTTTGGCTTAACTGCTTGGGTGATCTAACCAGCTCCTGGACATGTGGTTTGAAATGGACTAACCTAACGTCGTGTTTTTTCTAGATGTGGTGGCATCCAAGGTTTACTCTACTCCAAGTGCTTCAAGAGACAACTAAATAATAAACCTCCTAGAAGTATGTTCTGCGATAAGATAGATGTCTAAAAAGGTTTGTCTACGAAGCCACTTGTATTGTAGAGTTTAGTGTTGTTCTTTGAAGTAAAAATGCAAAAGGCCAGGATACACACTGCCGGTATAGGGGGTTCATCTTGTATCGGTGGTCTTTTTGTGGATTACTGTGGCTTGAATCACTAGATGTCACTATTGCTGTTGCTCCTCTAAATCCTTTCATCTGACTTATGCGCGCCAGGACAGCTCTCTTCTAACTTTCTAAAACATACTCCCAGACCAATATTCTACATTTATTACTTTTCAAATACACAACTAAGCGCACTTCATATTATCCTACAGAAATTTATCTATCACATAAAAGGCCAAAAGACCTTATGTATGATTCCATTTATTAAAGCAGATTAATCAGAGAAGCACTTCCGATATTTGTTGTTTGCTTTTACTGGATTTCATTTCCTTACCTGGTCGCACGTTCATGGAAATGATTTCCATACGTGACAAGAATAACAAGTGCGCGAGAGCAGGGTTACTCTTCAGCCAAAAGATGTTAAATTTAGCTGTAGAATATTTTTGCCGTGTTGTTGACCAAAGCTTTCCGGCGTATTCGCCCCTTGCCTGTATCTACTCAAACTATGTCAGCTATTTTTTACACCGTTTGCTACTCAACTAGGTGTTTCGTCACTGCTCCATAACATCAACTAAGAGTGTCTATTATCCGCGGATGTTTATGATACAGTCACTTCAGGAAACTGCGTTACTGTTAAAAGTCAGATGGTTCAGTATGAAAATTTGGATATGATTTTACTAAATTCGTGGAGTCCATTTACCGTAGATATCCTGCGATTAACTCACTGATCTCGTCAACACAACTCTCTAATACTGATCAACAGCAAACTGATCCTTTTTCAACATGAAGTAAATAATACACGTTTATTTTTATAGCATATTCCTGAATGTGATAAAAATAATGAAATAGCTCGATTTTCGAAAGAAAAGGTCCCTATAGGTTCTATATTTTCACGCACTGCCAAATAAGACGTGGAATGTGTCAGGTAATAGTGTGCATAATATCCAAAAATAACGTGAAGAAGAATAAATTGCCAGAATAGTTGTGGAATCTGGCATAATCAGAAAAACTCACCTAAGTATGATGATGTCGGATAGCTGATTACCGGGTGAAAAATTATCACAACGGCAAGTGCAAACGTAACAAGAATTGGCATCATTTGAAATCGTCTTGGCCATATAACCTGTAAAAAATTGAGGGAATCAGAGAATGATGAGAGGATGCCAGTCATTTTAAATGGGAGAGGGACAATAACGTGTTCTCGAAATGTGAACTAATTCCATAACACCTTACAGGATCACAGCGTCGTTCACGAGTCCTAGCTTTCTCAGTTGCGTTCTGACACTTCTTTATTTAGTTTAACCAAAAACTGCCGGGTAAGGTCAATAAATATTCAGTAAGAATACTGTGTCCACTAACCGCCAGTTTGGTCGTCTGAGCAGCTAAATGGCTTGTAGAAAGTACCGGTTCATCTTAGAAAATTCGTAGCTATGAAAACCAGTTGATGAGCGCCTGGTGCATGGAAAGGTCGATTAGAACCGGTGTTGCACAGTGAAGTGTTGACTCGCTGCAAATTTGCAGGCCAGATAAATTTTTACACGTGATTTCTTGTCTTGCGGATTGTTGTGCATTTATTTTAACTTAAAGATTGGAACTCCCGACAGGTTGTGACAGAGGATTTTGGGAAAAGGGAATCATACTGCTGGTAGGTAATAGTGAGGTTCTCTTGGTCAGTTACACCAAGCCAAACTCAGAACTGAACCAGAGTTTCGTCTTACCGACTCCGCTTTGTAGTGTGTCTTTAAGGAGATGAAGTCTATGATATATCTGAAACCGCCTAGCCGCCCAAAAGAGATATTTGCAGCGCCTTATGTATTTAAGTAACCTTTCGACGTTGAAAAAAGACCCAGTCATTCACAAGGCATAGCAATTTTCATCACAGCTGATGAAATAATGGATACTCGCAACAAAGTGTGCGGTGAAACGAGGCACTCATTTTCATGGATAAAGTCCCAGTGCGTATTATCACCTTAAAAAACCAACCCGCCTTTTTCAGTTTCTTAATCAACTCGTGTAAAAAATGTTAGAAAAACTATGATGTCCCTACTGAAGTGAGAAAAATGTTCAGTCTTTAAACTGTTTAACATGTAAGAGGTTAAAAGAGAAAAGATAACTTCACCTTCTTCCAACTTATGGCTAGGGCAAGTCAAAATATAAAACCCTCACAAGAAGTGGTGGTACTTGCAGGGACTTTTTCCAAATTTTAAAAGCACGCTTTCAGTAGTCTGAAGGTTTTCAGACCTATTTGTCTTTATGAATCACTGCTGCATCGTTTGCCTTCAGAATAACATGACACGTTCCTGAGTTTTAAAAGAAAATTTAACTTCGTCAGCAAAATAAAGTGAGGTGAACATGATATGGAAACTGGAACTGATATACTCTCAAATTCTAAGGTTGCTGAAAATTCTTCGACGGCCCACTAACGGTCTTGTCCTTCTTAGGCCTCGTCGTATAGACACCATCTCCAAGTTCTAAGTAACTACACGCTTTTTTTGAATGCCAAACTTTTCGCAAATGTAAAAATACACTCACTTGCAAGTTACTTTTTTGTTAGCAGAAGACCTAAACAAATCTCTCGTTTTTGTAAGTGATTCTCAAACTTTAAAAAATCCCCTTAAGTGGTATACGTAATGCTAAGCAACACTTCCTCAGATGAGTGCACACAGCCGGTTTTTAGCATGGTTGAATTGGTGCGGCAATCGTTTCGACGTCGGATAAATGCAAATTTACTTTTCTCCATGAATAATTGAGCAATGCGGTGAAGAAACGCTAAATTTTACTGCTGGTTAATTGCGGTTGCTTTACTGTGTGGCCCTCGATTTTTGCGTGCATGACTGTAAAACAAACATCATTTTCTCGATTTGCAAGATCTGCTAAGTAAAGTGATAAATAACCAACGGTTATTAAATAAAGTGACATAACCCTGCAAGATGTCCCATTTGCAAAGTTGAAAACTCCGTGAACGTTTGCCGGTAAGATATCCAGCTATAATTTGGACCTCGCAAACGCAGGCTTTAATCAAATAGGAGGGTACAACTTATTTTGTCGTCTTCAAAAACGGCGCTACACAATGAACGTGTGCGTTCATTCAGGCATCAGCCAGATGGTGTTTGACTGCCCCTGAAATACCATATACAGTTGTCAGTAGGTGGACCCGAAGCGGCTCTCTGAAATGTTAGGTGAAATGTTAGTCATGTATAGGTATATGGAAACCATGACTGCCAGAATAATCCATGTGGCATTGTTTGTGCAAAGTGAGAGCCATGAGTTATTCGGATGCATTTTACTCCGAGGTAGCTGACAGTGACTCTGAAATCTAACTAGAATAAATCACAACATAAAATATATGTTGTGTTTCACGTTACGGTAGATGGTTGCATGTTTCATCTGCCTATTTGTTGACTGACTGTTCTAGCAGTGCCATGTGCAAACGGGCCGTTTGCAATTTACGCTGGAGATAGTCATTCTCATAAAGGTGATTTATGATGTTGTCGACAAAATGCTCATGGCAAGCAAAGAAATATGCGCTTACACATATGAGCGCCTGAGGAACGGCACCTGAGTCCACAAATTCTGATTTATTGACTATATAGTCTAGGCATAACTTCCTCTCGAATTCGTCACCATTGGCGTTCATTATCACTTTTCACTAGGTTCACGTCATAGTACGCAATATAGTTAGGTATCAGCGCAACTGTCGGTAACTCGAGCTTGGCAGAAAGCCAATTTCGCTCGGCCGGAATAAATTAATCTAAAGTTGTGCTGACTGACTATTTAGTCCGGTTGTTTGAGTGGACTATGTTAAGTAGATACTAGTTAAAACGGATTAAAGCTTTGCCTGGAGAAAATGTTCGGACTGGCATAGTGCACCAACTACAGGCTACTTTAAAACCGGAGACTTACATATTTGGGTTTTCAACACGTACCAGGAAGATAAAATTTGAAAGCATCCATTTTATTGCTTTCAGATAATGAAATTGCATCCTGTTTGCCCAATTTATGCTTGTTAATTGTACAAGTATGAATGTTGACCGCATGATGTCACACTCAAGACTTAACATCTTTTAACCACTCACGCTGTATTCACATGAACGTTTACATTCAAGTGAAACTACATATTGAGCTTGGCTTTTCATCCATAACCGTATCCACTTTCGTTACTCGAGATCTCATAAGTGTGATCCGTTGGGCTTGCTGAAAATTAATGCTCCAGGATAATGGTCAAATTAAGGAACAACCAATTAATTCATTTGACGTAGTCAAATTTTTCCAAAATTCCAGTGCTGGAACCCTCCAAAAACATTGGTTTCCCTTTTAGTTCCCCAAAATAACAACTGTATGCACATTCTAGTTTTACTCAACGTAAATTTGTGGCTAAATATAAAGAATTAACTTGAACACTGCGATGAGTCCAGTCTCCACAGAAAGGGCTAAGATATATCGTCAATGGTGATGAACATGACCTATCATATTCTCTGAAATGCATTAGGCCACTGACGAGCTGACCTATAACCAGTTAGGGAGTGGGACAAGTGAAAAGTAGAGTCACATAAAAGAGGGTATTATGAAATGGCACCAAACTACTCGCATGTCCGGGAATCGACGTCAGCATCCATGTACAGCAAACTATCGTTCACAATGGAGGTATAGTTTTTCCGCTAAGCTAACAAGGTGACCGATTAGTATACAGCGGTGACAAGCACTAAATTTACCTGGATTAACTAACATTATATCTCGAACAAAAGTTTACACTATTCTAGGAAACATTATCCGGAAGCTAATCTAGTAAATATTCCAAGCATCTCAATAAATGGATGCTCTATGGAAATGCAGAATGAGCCGAACTGACAGACCCTAGCATTAGGAAGATTAATAAATCACTAATTAAGTCCACCCAGCTGTAGAGTAATAGAGGAAAGACCAGCCATCTAAGACAAAGAAAAAGCGAGGACTTCATTTTGTAGCATAACTTCCTTTCCTTGCAACCATGTGGCAAGCTTATTGTGAGGGACCGTAGCAAAACTGCCTCACGTACCACTAACTGAGATGGATCTTAGTGAACTATTGGTGGGGATCACTCGAGTTTTGTAACAAAAATTGATTCTGAGTGAGTAAATGTTGACCTATTCAGACATGAACATTCTGAACTGAAGTAGATTATTAGCTGGAACGTATTTGTACCACGCTGCACGAATTTGGCTGGTCATATTTTCTAATGTTCTCAGGTCCACCTCGGGATGAAGATAACTTTTGTATCATAACAGGTATCACACAGGAAATATGACCAACTTTAACAACCGTTCGAAAACCATGATCAAACCAACATCGTTTGGGCGCAGAAATAATATGCTACCTGGATTTTTCATGTTATTTGGTATGAATTTTCTGGTTGATCATGGGGATTATCAAAAAAAGACAGCTGTAATCAAAGTCATGCATGAAGTTGCCTTATTATGTGCAATGAGAGAGTTCATGAGAGTTCATGTTCAGCTCTGTTGTAGAGGTGCATTTAACTGGGTTTTTCTGTCCTGTGGCCATTTATTCTCCTATTATATAAAAGCAAGTGTCAGTAAACTGACCACAGTGTGGCGTGTGAATGGATATTTGGGTTTGTATATTCACACCAAAGTTTTAAAACATAAGCCAACGTACATTGTTCGCTACCAGGGAAAATTTAGTTCCTTAGATGAAGTCGAAACCTAAGATTCATGGCATAGTCAAGTGCCTTTGCGAAGGTATTTTTCGATGCCAAATAACACACCCCAAGACTAAGGGCAACTCGAGATGCCCTAATGAATGTAACTTCCTTAGACCAAGTTTGAAGGTTTCTCGCTAACAAACGCAGGTAACGGATGCTTTACACTCATTTTGAGTAAACCGGCCTCTGTGTGAGACTTTCATTCTGTCAGATCAGTCTGCGGCAGTCGCAGAACTAGGAGCAACTTTGACATATTTCTAATAATATGGCGTGGCGGTAGCCTAAGGTATTTTTCGATGCCAAATAACACACCCCAAGACTAAGGGCAACTCGAGATGCCCTAATGAATGTAACTTCCTTAGACCAAGTTTGAAGGTTTCTCGCTAACAAACGCAGGTAACGGATGCTTTACACTCATTTTGAGT